CAACATATATAAGAGAAAACTACTGTTACGTTCAATCCGTATTACGTTTGTTACGTACGTTTAAGCTCTTTTCTCTTTCTTTTCAGACGTGTATTCGTATACTCATTATTCGAATATTCTTTACTCGCCTGCTTTCAAAGCAGAGTCATTAAATCTTATTAAGACCTTAAAGTTTAAGGTCTTAATAAGATTTAATGACTCGTTTTCATCTAAACTTTCGTTTAAGGCTTAAACGATAAGATCGTAGATTATCTTATCAAAATCTTAAAGGATAAGATCCTATAAGATCTTAGTAAGATAATGTTACGAAGTCTCTAAGATTTTTACCTTTGCATGAAGTATGTGACGTGTATGCCAAAAGTAGCCTCAGAAATTGATGTGCGAAAACAGAAATTTGAGAATTTTACGATTTGTTAATACGAATTCTTGATTAAAAGTTGCTGTTCGAAATGTGTTTTTCTGTGTGAAGAGAGTCTAGAATATTTTTCAAATCGTTAGGTTTCATATATCATTTGAAAGTCGAAATCGCTTCATGGTGTGCTACTCGCCCATCAAAGACAAGGGAGTCGTGGGAGCTCAGAGTGGATGAAGTAATTATATATCAGGTACATGCGTATCACCGATGTGATAGAGCGCACTTGTCAATTGGTAACATTGTCGAAAGAATATTGACGATCTTTCTGTTGTGAGATTTGTCAGGTATTCAGTGGACATCACTCAGTTGTTGACAATAGATTTCTGTATGTGATAAAATAGGTAACACAAATAAACTATCAGATATCAGTTTTGGAGAAGTACATATTAAGAGAATATGCTTTTCTTTTCAGCATTATTGTCCAATAAAGCGTTACGTGATCGTTATTGGGCATATTATTATGATAAAAAACCATCAAAATTTCAAACAGCGGAATTAGAACGGATGACTCAAGTGACAAAACGTTTGAAAAGTTTATCGAAAGAAGAAGCAAAACACGAATACAATCTTGAATTACTCGATCTTGAGAACACTCGTAACACTTTTTCACCATCAGCACCTAGTAGTCCAAGTTGCTTTACCGCCATCATAAGAAGATCGCGTAGTTCTCATGAAAGTTTAGATGAAAATGATAAAGACGAATTTTTAAATGAATTGGCTAAGTTCAGACCAACATTCCAGACGCTCCAATTGAAATAAACTTACACTTTATCAGTTGTTACTATTATGTCGTGTAAAAACTTTGATTGAAAAGACTCACGAATGACTAATATATTAAAAATGTACTATATATTTGATTATATTAAAAGGAGACGAAAAAGAACGTGTGCAGTATTTATCAATTATCAAAGATTTCTCGCTGGGTTGCGCACAAAAGTAGACCATATCAAGTACCACTTTTGGATTTAACTTTATTTTATTTGAAAGTTTTTAAAAGCTCTATAACTTTTTTTTGCTAAAAAAGACACATTTTTCATACTCTAGTCTATTAATATTTTTCTTCTAGCTTTGCCAGTAGAAATAAAGTTTAAAGTATTTTATCCACACAGTCTGCAATTTATTTTAAGTTGATATTGTATTACTGTTGATACTACAGATGAATATGGAAGAAAGATGAAAAGCTTGCACAAATAAAATGAATCTTACAGATGGCTGTTGTTTAACTTAAAAACTGTTTTCAGCCTACTGCCTACTTAGCAGTTATGAAAACAATCCCAAGTAAAAAATCTTGACTGCAGATCTTGATAAAAACTTGAAAGATTTCGGAAGTTTCTGTTCAGTTCTTTCAAGATCTTATGCAGATTTATCGATATCTGTCAAGATTCTGAGATCATC